ATTATAAATCCGTTTCGGTTTCGGGAATGTGGATTTTGAGTTAGTACCCAACTTGACACAAAAATATAACCCTGGTGTCCTATCACCGTTATGTGACCTCCCCGACACACATTATTTTTTTAATACCATACATGTACATATATTGTAATAGTGATAAATGTACCTTTGGTTTAATGCAATATGGTTTTTTGTTCTGACACTATTTATTCAATAAATATTTACATATTATAAAAGTACACTATATGATTGTGGGATCTGAAAACAAGCTGAGGCTTATATAAATTCATCTCCCGAGGACATTCTTTACAATAAAATATAAATACTTTGTATAAGATTGTAATCATAAATAACAAACTGGTATAAAATTACAAGGTAAAAGTGTTTACTCTCATTTAATTAATCAAAACGTAGTAGTAGATAAATTAACAGGTTTTGATTTTTAAACGCATCTCGGGAAATGGACTGCTCGTCCAATAAAAAAACGCATTAGATAAGTCAACGAGTCAGCCATTTCTAAACCACTTTCGGAGAAATTAAACGGTGTACCATTAAATTAAACCATAGTACTAATTAAACAATTTTTGTAATTTCCAAACGATTTTTATCAATATCAAACGATGTTTTGAAATTAAACTATATGCATAGTTTTTAGCGCTATAAACCCCTTATTAGACGATACAAGGGTTACAGTGATACATGGTTACTCTTACTATACATAATGATATTCTAGTGGGTTCTAGTGTCACTAGCTGTGAAGTCAGTTATCTGTGTTAGTTATTTAGTTATTCATTATTAGGATTTACGTCACAATTCTGCATATAAATTTCAGAAAGATAGAATGATAACTTTTGACGTGAGAGCGTTCACAAGGTTCAATAAAGTGAAACAAGGGGCATAACTCTAGACGTAATAAATGGAAATTGCTGAAATTCAATAGGTGTCTTCGTTTCACTAATTCAAATAAACGTTTAAATTTCAGAAAGATCGGATGATAACTTTTGGTGTTGGAGCGTTCACAAGGTTCGATAAAGGGAAACAAAGGATGTAACTCTAGACGTAATAAACGGAAATTGCTGAAATTCAATAGGCTTTTTCGTTTCACTAATTAAATAATGCATATATTTTTCAGTAAGATCGAATGATAACTTTTGACGTTAGAGAGGTCACAAAATTCAATAAAGTGAAACAAGGGCCATAACTATAGACATAATAAACGGAAATTGCTGAAATTCAATAGACTTCTTCGTTTCACTAATTTAAATAATGCATATAAATTTCACAGATGATAACTTTTGGCGTTAGAGCGTTCACAACGTCCAACAAAGTGATATAATAAATGCCATAATTATAGACGTAATCAACAGAAATTAATGAGGCTTCTTCATCTCACCAATGTGAACAACATATATCAATTTTAAAATAATTGGATCATAACTTTTGGCGTTAGAGCGTTCACAAGAAATTGTGGACGATGGACAGATGGACCAACGGACGGGGGCGACGGTAATATGCATCCACATTTCAATGTCATTCGCCGAAATCCCAAAATAAAAGATGACACATATTAATTAATCGCCCATTTATTTTTTCCAAAGTATCAAGCAATCAAACTGATTATCAACTATACACTAAGTTTCATCACTCGCTATCAGATAGAATCAAAGTTATCTTGTCCCAAAGCATCGACCAATGAAATTGCTTAGCTCTGTTTAGTTTTAGCTCGAAAAATTAATTATTGAACTCAGTCAAGACCATTCACCTAATGAACATCTACATCAAGTTTAAACATTCTACCTCACTTAAAAGCAGAGTTATTATGTTCCAAGGTCTTGACCAATCAAATTGCTTATCGCTCCATAGCCTGAGCAGAAAATTCTCATTATCAAATTTAGTCAAGATTATGATATAATGAATTTATACTCAGAGTTTCATCACTCTCACTTAATTATAACCAAAGTTATCGTGCTCCAAAGCACCAACCAATCAGATTGCTTATCTCTGCTTATCCTAAGCAGACAATGTTTATCACCGAACTCCATCAAGATCAAGGCATTCACCTAATAAACACCTACACCAAATCAACTTGCTTATCGCTCTGCTTACCCCGAGCAGAAAATGCTCATTATCAAACTTAGTCAAGGTATTGATGTAATAAAACTATACACCAAATTTCATCACTCTCACTTTAACTAAAGTTATCGTGTCCCAAAGTATCAACCAATCAAATTGCTTATCTCTGCTTACCCTAAGCAGAAATGCCAATCTTCGAACTCCATCAAGGCACTGACTACACCAAGTTTGAACATTCTAGCTCAATTAGAAATAGTTATTGTGTTCCAAAGTCTCGGCCAATCAAATTGCTTATCGCTCTGTTCACCCTTAGCAGAAAATGCTCATTATCGAATTTCGTCAAGGTATCGATGTAATGAAACTATACACCAAGTTTCATCACTCTCAGTTAATTAGAACTAGAGTTATCGTGTTCCAAAGCATCAACCAATCAACCTGCTTATCGCTCTGCTTACCCTAAGTAGAAAATGCTTATCTTCCAACTCCATCAAGGCATTGACCTAATAAACACCCACACCAAGTTTGAACATTCTAGCTCAATTAGAAGGAGAGTCATTGTGTCCCAAAAAGTGTGACGGACGGACGGACAGATGGACAGATGGACAGATGGATGAACCCATTTTAATAGTCCCCTGCCTTTCGAAAGGCAACAGACAGAAATGAACTTAACTCTAAGGGACCTATGGGAAGTATCTTAAAGTTAAGTGTGAGGATAAAGGCTTTTTCTACACAATGTAGTAGCAGGCCTGTAAGGACAAGTTTAAAAGTGTAGGGACTAAGATTGAAGCAGAGACGATGTAATACTAACAGAGCATAGCTGGCCTTGGAAATGTTTTTTCATTAGCAGCTTTGATGTTGTAGTGGAATAATACTGCTGGTGATATGCGCGGGGATATATTATTTTTCGATCAACGTCATATTCGCATTGATTAATCATGTTTTCCAACACTGTCACATAATTATGTTTGATGCATTACATTCATTGGTAACATTTGACATTAGTGATGGCATTACATGTCATTTATACTACTTCACGGAGACTAGACACATGTTCCAAAGATAGGTTGCCAGGCAACGAAACATACGCCCACAGCAGCTAAATCGTCCGGGCAGTCAACAAGTGTTGTCGCATATTTTTACTTTTTTCGGTAATGAAACATTTATAATACACTAAAATCTGATTAAGAGTAACAACTCATGAAGTAATTATCAGAAAACATTAGAATTTGTTTGATTTTTATAAAGTTCTGCCCCATGCTAACGTTTAGTATACAAAACTTTTAATATCATGGATTTAGCTGTTCAAGTCATAAAAATTTACTTGTTCGTATCAAGATTTTAAACTCTGTGTATCAATCTGAAGTCAATCGGATGATAACTTTAGCCTTTAGAGCGTCACAAGATTTTTCAAAGTGATCAAGGGCCATAACTCTTGCAGTAATTATGGTAAATTGCTGAAAATCAATAGGCTTCTTCGTCTCAATCGGATATCAACTTTGGCCTCTAGAGCATCCACAAGCTTTTTTGAATTTATCAAGGACCATAACTCTGGCAGTAATTATCGAAAATTGCTGAAAATGAATAGACTTCTTCATCCCATGACCTTAAACACTGTGTATAAATTTAAAGTCAATCGGATTTTAACTTTAGCCTCTAGAGCGTCTACAAGATTTTTCAAAGTGATCAAGGGTCATAACTCTGGCAGTAATTATCTGAAATCGCTGAAAATCAATAAGCTTCTTCATCTCATGACCTTAAACACTGTGTATAAATTTAAAGTCAATTGGATATTAACTTTGGCCTCTAGATCTAGAGCGTCTATAAGATTGTTTGAAGTGATCAAGGGCCATAACTCTGGCAGTAATTATCGGAAATCGCTGAAAATCATAGGCTTCTTCATCTCATGACCTTAAACAGTGTGTATAAATTTAAAAGTCAATCGGATATTTACTTTAGCCTCTAGGGCGTCCACAAGATTTTTCAAAGTGATCAAGGGCCATAACTTTGGCAGTGAAATGAAATGAAATGAAATGGAGTTTAACGTCCTACTGTTCTGCTCCTAACCTGGGCTAATGAAGACGGGCATACGCCATACAGTGTGCTATGAGGGAAATTTTGCCCGGACAGCGGCACTACGGCCTACTCTTATATCGAATTCCAACTGCCAAGGGATCTTTTACGTGCACGCCAATGTGTACACAGGACCTCGGTTTTTCGTCCCATCCGAACGACTAGACAGCTTTCCTTGTCAGCCCCTCCGTCCTGCATCACTGACAAGTGAGAACCACGCCGGAAAACTTTGGCAGTAATTATCGGAAATTGCTGAAAATCAATAAGCTTCTTCGCCACATGAAATTAAACACTGTGTATAAATTTAAAGTTAATTGGATATTAACTTTAGCCTCTAGAGCGTTTACAAGATTTTTTGAAGTGATCAAGGGCCATAACTCTGGCAGTAATTATCGGGAATCACTGAAAATCAATAGGCTTCTTCATCTCATGGCCTTAAACACTGTATATATATTTAAAGTCAATCGGATATTAACTTTAGCCCCTAGAGCCGGCCGGCCGGACGGAGGGGGGGGGGCGACGACAATATACAACCACATTTCAATGTGGGCGTATAAAAAGTTATATGCTAGATGTAGATGTCTACCTGTAGTATTTTGAACCAAGTTTTTCTCTAACTGCACCACTGAACTCACCCTGCATCATATACATGGTGGTGTCTTATAGTATAGGCAGGTATATACAGTAAGATTTGATAACTTTAGCAGACTATCTTACATTTATGCCAATTATATCAATATTTCTAAGAATATCAGGTCCTCTTCAAATTTCTGTTTTAAATTTTCAAACAATATATGCTTTATATTCTAGTTTTATAGCTAGAAAAGTCAATACAATGTATTAACACTTCCATAACTTACTGGTACACCTTCTATAGGCCGTTTCAACAAGAAATCACCCAAAATATCTTCACAATACTTGGACATCTTATACTGTTGAAATTTGCTGAAAAATACCCCAAAAAAATCAACATAACCCAAAATAATATAAATTTGGAAAACAAAAGGAAGGTAATAATATCAATAGTCCTGGGGACACAGCATAGATATTATTAAAATATTCTGCTTGCTAAAATATATACTTACATTATGCCATAAATTGTCCCAATCAGTAATAATTGAACATTGGCTTTGGAAATAGTAAATTTAAGATAATCTGATATTATTTACTAGCTAAAACAGGTTCATAAATTTAAACATTTACTTCATATGATTAATGTAACTGAATGTTCAATACTATCAGAAATATTACCTGCAATGATTTTCAAATGATAAAATAACAGGATATTCAGAAGTTACAAATGCAGTTTCTTTGATTGCCATTATTACATCCTGGAAAGGGAAAAACACAAATTGTAAAATTAAATGATGGGCTGCCAGGCAACGAAACATACGGACACACCAGTCAAGTCGAACTATAAAAAAAAAAAGGAAATCAGTACACCATACTGTTAGTGCGTTGAGATGATTCTTAAACATGATTAAAGAACTATCTCTGTAAGTAATTATCAGAAATTGTTATTATTATTCATCATAACTATCGAAACAAAGAACATACTCGATACATTTAAGGTAGATCAAGGGCCATAATTTTAGAACTAATCAGAATTCAAAAATCTGAACATGAAATATAAGTTCTAAGCCTATATGTGAAAGACCTGTACAAATGCTTACTTATTTAACCCACATAGCCACTATATATGCGATTTTTGCGGCAATTTTGAGAAAAGTGCCCTCACGGAAAAAGGTTCAGGATATAGCCTGTTTACCACATATATTCTTGTTCAGAATAAAAAACTGGTCTAGAAAATCCACATGAGAATTTCTACCTCTCCAGGTGGCACCACCCTCAATTATAACCTGGACTAACAGTCCTCTTCGACGTGTACACACTTTTGCCAATGACATTGCACGTCCTAGATACCGGTCAGGAAGACATTTTCTTCAGCCACCCTAAAAAAAGTTGTTCACAGCTGACATGACATCCTCATTACTAGGAAAATGACGACCTGTTAGTTCCTTTTTCACTTTTGGAAACTGGTCTCATACAGGGTTACAAGGCCTGGATGCCGGTCTGGAAGACATTTTCTTCAGCCAGCCTAAAAAAGTTGTTCACAGTTGACATGATGTCATCATTACTAGGAAAATGACGATGGCTAGTTCCTTTTTCATTTTTGAAAACAGGTCTCATCCATGGCCAAAACATGATCAGGATCTGCTTCATAACGGCGCAGATTGTCATGTGACATCAAGAATCTGACACGTTTCTGATCTGCAGTCAAGAGCTTTGTCATTACTAACCCACTCATGAGAGATGCCCACAACATTGGCAATATCTCGAGTGGTCAATCGTCGATCAACCATCACCATTTCATGTGGAAAAGGAAGGGGCATCATCCCCTAAAGTGGAGACCATGTAAGCATTTATCTGTGTTGGGGTTGGTCCTTTCAGTTTTGTCCATTTCTGGTGATTTCAATGAGTAGGTTCACAAGATGGTCTGGTACGAATACAATAAGAACACTACAGTTGCAGTTCTTAGGTCTATGATTCATTCACTGATTGTACTTGCTGGTGGCAAAAGTTTGTTTCAACTCAATTGATCTATCCTTTTCAGGAGCAATCATTCTGTTGGGCAGTTTCGGTCCAATTTTCACAAAATTCAAACCCAACCATCATTACGGTGTAACGGTGATATATTTAAACCAGGAAATTACGGTCCGATACATGCCAACATCGAAAGGAACGGAGATCTTTGGGTTATAAACATACATTTCAAGTTTCATCAGAATCGGATAAAAAATTGTGACTTATAGAGGGTCCACAACCTTGGTAATACATACTTTTAATCTATGGAGTACATGGAGCGTCCATTCTGTCAAGCAGATTTGGTCGGATTTTCACGAAAATCGAACTCAACCAGCCTTAGGGTGCAACGATGATATATTTAAGCGTTTTTTTTTTTGATCAGATAAAAATTATGACCTTTAGGGCTTTAGAGAGATCACAAGCTAAAAATGCGATTTTTCGAACAATCTAGGGCCATAATCCGGGAAGTTAAGTTCTGATATGCACGATTATCGAAAAGAACCAAGATCTTTGTGATATAAACATATTAACAGAACACAATTTTTATGGGAAACAATCACTGGTTTTATTCTAAAAGCATAACGTTTAGACAAGTATCCTCTTATCGTTATCAAACACAATAACGATAAGAGGATACTTGTCAAACATCGTGCTTCTAGAAAAACACCAGTGATTGTTTCCCATAAAAATTGTGTTCTGTTAATGTGTTTCCCAATCGCTAAATGCCACTTAACAGATTATGATATAGACATAAATTTAAAGTTTCAACAAAATCGGATCAAAATTGTGTCCTCTACATGTAGAGGGTCCACAACCTTGATATACACACATGTACTTTTACATTTGCGTATGAGGAGCGGCCATTTTGTCGGACACTTTCGGTTCGATTTTTATGAAATTTGAACTCACCCATCATTATGGTGTAACAGTGATATATTCGAACGTTTTTTTTTAATTGGATAAAAATAGTGACCTCTAAAGGAACCACAAGCTAAAAACGTGATTTTTCCTACAATCAGGGGTCATAATCCAGGAAGTTACGATCCGATATGCATGAATATTGAAAGGAACCATGATCTTTGGGTTATAAACATACATTTCAAGTCTCATCAAAATTGTATAACAAGAGCATCGCTACGCTACAATATATGTCCTCGTTCTTGATTGACATGGTACTTTTTAAAATGAAGAGAATGAAATATGAAATGGCTGCAATGACTGTAACATTACAAGAGGCAAAGAAGGCTAGGCATTGGGTTTGTTTTGCAAATTTACAGACTAAATATTAAGGGCAAGGTAAAGTGACAAAAATTGTCACAACACCTCAAAAAATCTTTCACGACATTTGTAGTGCCTGTATTTTGGCATCTAAATGTGCTTGAGATCATACTGAACAATAAAGAAATGGTTGAAAATCAACAAGCCAATAGTGAGGCCGATGTCCCCCGTCGAAATCCCAAAATAAATAGATGACACATATTAATAAATCGCACATTCATTTTTTTCAAAAGTATCAAGCAATCAAAGATAGAATCAAAGTTATATTGTCCTAAAGCATTGACCAATGTAATTGCTTAGCTCTGCTTAGCTTTAGCTCAAAATTTGAATCATTGAACTCAGTCAAGACATTCACCTAATGAACATCTACATCAAGTTTAAACATTCTACCTCAATTAAATGCAGAGTTGTTATGTTCCAAAGTCTTGACCAATCAAATTGCTTATCTCTCCTTAGCCGAAACAGAAAATTCTCATCATTGAACTTAGTCAAGGTAATGATATAATGAATCTATAATCAAAGTTTCATTACTCCCACTCAATTATAACCAAAGTTATTGTGCCCCAAAGCATCAAACAATCAGATAGCTTATATCTCGGCTTACCGTAAGCAGAAAATGTTTATCATCGAACGAGATCAAGGCATTCAGCTAATAAATGCCTACACCAAGTTTGAACATTCTAGCTCAATTAGAAGGAGAGTTACTGTGTTCTAAAGTCTTAGCCAATCAAATTGCTTATCGCTCTGCTTACCCTGAGCAGAAAGTGCTCATTATCGAACTTAGTCAAGGTATTGATATGATAAAACCATACACCAAGTGTCCTCACTCTCACTAAATTAGAACTAAAGTTATTGTGTCCCATTAAAGCATCAACCAATCAAATTACTTATCTCTGCTTAACCTAAGCAGAAAATTCTCATCTTCGAACTCCATCATGGCATTCACCTAATAAACACCTATGCCAAGTGTGAACATTCTAGCTCAATTAGAAGTAGAGTTATTGTGTTCTAAAGTCTCGGCCAATCAAATTGCTTATCGCTCTGCTTACCCTGAGCAGAAAATGCTCATCATCGAACTTAGTCAAGGTATTGATGTAATGAAACTATACACCCTCACTTAATTATAACTGAAGTTATCGTGTCCCAAAGCATCAACCAATCAAATTGCTTATCTCTGCTTACCCTAAGCAGAAAATGCTCATATTCGAACTCCACCAAGGCATTGACCTAATAAACACCTATACCAAGTTTGAACATTCTAGCTCAATTAGAAAGAGAGTTATTGTGTCCCAAAAAGTGTGACGGACGGACAGACAGACGGACTGACCGATGGACATACAGACAGACAGATGGACGAAACCATTTTAATAGTCCCCTGCTTTCTTTGAAAGGCGAAGGACAAAAATAATGACTTTGGAATTTGTAACTTTGGAAAATATGAAGCAAATATACTATTCAGCACTGCGCAGCTACAGGATAAACAACTCAATATGGGAAGTCACAAAGTCTCACAAATGTCTGAATATATCCACTACAACCATCAAGATTTCAAATTTTGAAAACTATCTTTGTTTTAGCACAAGTCCATATAATCAAACTTTTTTTTTTTTTTCAAATATCCTCAATTTTTTTCCTCCAAACTCCTTTTGTTTTCAGATATTTTTATAGACCTAATGAATACACATTGCTAATATTTTTATGACTTCTTTTAATTCACCCTTTCGAAACTTTTTGCCTGGAAGCATATAATCAAACTTTTTTTTTTTTTCAAATATCCTTAATTTTTTTTCCTCCAAACTCCTTTTATTTTCAGATACTTTTATAGGCCTAATGAATACACATTGCTAATATTTTTATGACTTCTTTTAATTCACCCTTCGAAACTTTTTGCCTGGAAGCATAAAGATATTTTTTATTAAAGTTATATTTAAGTTACAAATTCTATACCAAACCCTCAAAATGCTTATTATTCTAACATAAATGAATAATAATCTATTCAAAATTTAGAAAAAACACTTAACAACGGCAGCCATGATAGCTTAGATTTTGACAGTTCTGTTTTCATCAAATTATAGAACGCTCCATGTGAATAAGATGTGACACTTCTTGCAAATGATGACCAATAGTCTATAATATTAAGATTTAACACCCGATTTATCGATAATTGTGATAGTATCAGTAAAAAAGTATTTACTGCATCTTTATTTACCTTTCTTTGTCGAATTGCCACTCAACGAAGTGCTGACTATGAATAATTTATTTTTTAATATTACCAAATCACGTAAATGACACCTCATTTGTATTCAGATATGAATTAAGAGCCATTCCACGAGAAACCATGCAGAAGGTTCGAAGGTGGGGGGCGGCCGATTGAGTTCATATTTACAGGGTTTGGTCGCCCCAACGAGCCAACTCCCCAGCCCAAATTGGCGATTTTAGAAATCAACCGTTTCTGAGATACAGCCCG